TTTGGGAGGGAAAAAAAAAGGGTTGGGGGGGGGGGGGGGGCCACCAAGGGACGTAAATACCTGTCTCTTATACACATCTAGATGTGTATAAGAGACAGATACAAGAGGATGAGTTACATTTTTAGTGTATGGGATGGAAGAAAATATTTAATGCATTGGATAACACCAATAGTCCAGTCAATCTGTGAATTGACCCAGAACTAATTGCAAGAGAAATCATTTTTGTGAAATCTGTTCCAGTAATATATGTGCAAAGTAACATACGGTTTTATTGTGTCACATCGCCCAAATGCTGCGTCTGTTGTTGCTAAAGAAAATTTGTTAAAATAATATAGATGCCTGCATGCGAATGCAGTTAAATCAAACCAGATACTGTTCTGCATTACCTGATATTTATTTATTTCCAAGTCAACATCGAAAAATCACCACTTTTAGGATGGACACAAAACATATAGACCTAATGTGTACTCTAAAAATACAGAAACCCCCCTCCCATCATGAACATAGAATCAAGAAACTTCACACACAGTCATAAAGACAACTTTCACCAGGATACTTTTTATAATGAGTGATCGTAAATGTTTAAAACTGTTTTAAAAGATATTTATACTATCTTGATTAACAAAGTAAGTTTAATCAACATTCAATATTATAATTTGTAATATGTCTTTGTTCATGTGGTAGACCTAATAATTTATTATTTTATATAATGAGGTAGTAATAATATAATACGACTAATTAGTAAAATAATAAAGAACTCCAAGGTAACAAGTTTTTTTACCACAGATCTTATTTACGATAATACGATACGATAATACTTTATTGCAATTTAATCTTATACAGTACAAATTGAAGTTGAATATTAAAAAATTACCAAATAAGAATCTACAGAAAATAAAATTTTGTATACAATTAAAACAAGAGGGACAACGGGGGAAAGTGGAGGACAACCAAACGGATACAAGAATATTAATAGGAATAAAAAACACTAAAAGCAATTGGTGTTAAAACAAAGCATCAGAGACAGGCAAACACCTAAATAAATCACAATAAAAATCACTAAAATTTAAAACTATTATAATTATTAACATTAAATTTATTAGTTTCTTTTCATTACAATAATTAAATAAATTACAATGATCATCATTAAAATCTATAAATATTCTAATTAACATTGGATTCATTATATTCTTTTCATTACTCTATTTAAATATCAAAACACAAAAAATCATTCACAACGATAATTATTAAAATAAATAAATAAAATAAAAATCACTAAAATTTAAAACTATTATAATTATTAACATTAAATTTATTAGTTTCTTTTCATTACAATAATTAAATAAATTACAATGATCATCATTAAAATCTATAAATATTCTAATTAACATTGGATTCATTATATTCTTTTCATTACTCTATTTAAATATCAAAACACAAAAAATCATTCACAACGATAATTATTAAAATCAATAAATATTCTTATTGTTATTAACATTGAATTTATTATATTCTTTTCAATATTCTATTTAAATATCAAAACATTAAAAATGATTCACAGCGAATGAAATAAGCAGTAACAGTTTAAAAAACAACTAAGAAACGCAATTGGGACACAAAAACAACAAATAAAAAAGAGAATTAAGAGAACAGCGGAACAAACTACTACTCAAATTTGAAGTCATTTGTTTTTCTATCTCTTCCTTCGTTTGTGACGCGATTAGGCCGAACTTGCAATAATATGGAAGATAAGGATTGGGGAATTTAAAGTATGAAGAGTTTTTGCGAAAATATTGTCGGGAAGTATGTGAAAAAATATGTTTTTACATCATACACACCATGTCTAGCTTAAAAGTAATTTGGACATAACTTTTATTTTGATATTGCTAAAACGACATAAAAGTCTTTTTTACAGTCAGTATATCTTATGACTTAGAACATGCAGCATTATTTCACAGGGCCTAATTTGCTACTGGTACTAAACCAAACGTACAGTGTTTTTGATTGATTGCATGACATTCCCTAAGTGGTTTCGTTATATCTTTTAAAAATTGTCCTGTGGATATTGAATTTTGAATAATACAAACTTTTAGTATGTTATTTTGCGTATACTGTATTTCTGGAGCAGATTCCACAAAAATAATTGAACTGAACCCCTGTCGTGAAAGAAGACAATTATCTTTTTCAGTGCGAGAGAAAGATTCTGCCCTCTGCGGACTTAGTCCTGTATTGACGCTTTAGCACCCAAGAAAAAAAATTCTGGATCTGCCACTGAGATTGGACCTCTTATCAAGGAATCTCTGATGCACCACTGCAGTAACCTATACATGTTAACTTATACCAAGGAGATATTTTTATAATACCTCATTGACTATCAATTGAACAAATAATATCAAACAAGGAAAGAGAAAAAAGAAAGGAGGGGTGGAATAAGGAATGGCAAAGCAACCCATGAAATCATAAATATTTAAAAAAAATTAAAAAGACACTGAAGAATTATCGCTGTATCTTATTATGTTTTCTGTCGGATTTATCAATCATACCAAGCAAATTTATATGTTCATATTTACTGGAGTCATTTTTTTTTTCTCCCAATATATATACAATAGATAACTCAACCAAGTGTGTAACAGAGGTAGAGTATCGGGAAACTGTGCAACTTAGCTGCTGCTTAAATGCATCCATGGGAATATCCTGGTACAAAGAAAGTACTTCAAATGACAGCAAAATTGGCTATGATAACAAAAGCAACACGAAATACACTATAAATGCCACACAAATTGATAAATATGACATCAATTTCAGCAAACATACATTCAAATTTAGTGATGGTGGAAAAACATTCAAGATGTCAGAGGCACGCTTATCATTTGCTGGAACTTATATATGCGTTAGTGGAGGGCAAGAATTTGTTCAATATGTTGAAGTACATAAAGGTATGCCCTGTACAAAATACAAACTTATTTTGAATATTTGCCTGAAGTTGAGCTAGAGTGGTTTTAAGAGATGATTTAAATAAAAGAGGAGTTCCAATTTTGACTCTTGATACTATAAAAAATTTGGTCTTGATGAAGGGTAGAGGCTTGAGAGTGCAGTTTTTGAGCGATTTGCTGGAGAATGCTGAACTCAAGACTCTATCCTTCATCAAAGACCTAATTCTCAGTTAGTATCTAAAAAATTTTTCTTGATAAAGAGTAGAGATTTGTGAATGCAGTTTTGAGTGATTTGGTAGAGGTTTCTGGACAAATTCCTGAGAAAGTCTTGGTGGAAAGTGCAGTTTTGATATGGAATCAAAACTTGAAGCACCAATCGGACATGACAACTCATCGATTATTTGGGCAAAATAAAACATATTTATGGCAAGCTTGGATACCCACTAAAGCTTTTCCCCTGCTTCCTGCCTGGTGCTTGGGGTTCCCTATCCCTTCACCAGAGCCACCACTGGTCATGAAAGAGAGTGCAGCATTGAGGTAGAATTGAGTTTTAAGTTTTTTTTCTGCACATTTTTTTTTTTAAATAATTTCAGATTACAGTAAATATGATGCAAAATTGTATTCTTCTTTGGACACAAAATGTCCATCTGAAGTTGGAGCACATCTTTCAGAAGAGAAAACACTATGCTGCAAATTTCAAATCAATGCACGAGTGGACAACATAAGTATTAAATGGTTTTTTGAAAATGCGACGGAACCATTGAAGACTGAAAACAATTATATTATTAACTCTGAGTGTAACGAAAGGTAGGATATTTTACGTGAGAGTTGTGATATTTTGCCATTTGTATATATCAGTACTGTAATTCCCTGGGTATACTGTAGTTCCACCTCGGACATCTGGCCTGTATGCAGGATTTTTATTGGTTGGGTGAAAATTTGTGGGAAGTGAACAAAAATGGTTGGTGGGGGGGGGGGGCCACCAAGGGACGTAAATACATCGTGTAATAAGATTCCTCCAACAGGATTCGAACCTGCGACCTCTTGCTGTCAAGTTGTGTCATATCCATTAGACCACAGAGGCTTCATGGTTAAAAAGATTTAAATAACTGTCAAGTACATTGTACAGTATTACACAATGGTGCGCCTCGAGAGGGCGTTAAACGAGATAGATCTGGGTGTACGTCTGGATATAAATAGTAACATGTATGTTATTATTTATGTCCAACCGTATATATAGATAAATAATAACAGTGCCCAAATGAGTGAGGTTATAATTCTACCAAGCAGAGCCCTTTGTAATTTTTTTTTTTAATTAACAGATTACTTACATCATACAATCATATTTATTAAAATATTTTTAAATTATACTTTTTTGTATGTGTGCATTGTGTCTGTATTTAACATTTTTTAATGTTTGTCAATTTGAAGTCGAAAGTATGTCCTGGTCCCCAACCCTTTTATGTTTACTTGGATAGGCTTACTTCATACAAAATTTTTATCCTATAAGAAGTGTCAATGATGGGATTCGAACCTACAACCTTTTGCTATACTTTTTTAAAACAACTGATGAGTTAGATTTTTGATGTGAAGTGCTGTGTACTGTAATGCTGCGTTCATTAGAACTTGTGAAGTCGGTGTTTTCCAGTTCACAATTTGTGAAACGCGTTCATCTGATCGTTGAACAAGTTGTGAACTCGAGTAGAATTTTCTTCTTCGATTTGCACAAGTAGTGTGGAAAATGGCGGATGTTAACACAAACGAGCAGATGTATTTATTGCAATTTGTTTAAGTAATATTGTTTTAGATAAAAAAGAAGTGTTTTTTTATTTTTTATTTGCAACCTCATGATTTGCACTGTATAATGTTCTGAATGCACTTTACGGAGTACTAATTCAAGTGCTTTTTTGACACAGGCTATGAATAGGCCTATCGACGTATTATCGCAGACACTCAATAGACACATGATATGCACTATGACCTAGCGTTCGTCAAATGAATGCACTCTTCTCGTGTTCTCGCATGTTACAAATTGTGAAATCAGTTTTCACAAGTTCTAATGAACACAGCATATATCTATAATTATTATTATTACTATTATGTATATTATTATTATTTATAGCATACTTGAAGATGATAGCACAGTGTCTACGGTTGTGAAAACATTTTTAAAGTTGAGTCGTGTAACACCTGCATCCTATGGTAATTACAAAGCTGTAGTTAACGCGATACCATATAAGAAGGACACAGAAATGACTAGTACATGTGTTTTAATGTTGTATGAAAGCATCAATGACTCTGAAGACAAAGAAGGTAATGTACTCTAATAATATTGTCAGTTATACCCACAATCTAGTGTTTTCATTTAACACATTCAATCTTCTGCTTGAAAGTGTATATATCAAGAGATCTCTTTCTTTCAGTGAAAAAATATAAAACTGAAAGTACTATTTTCAGCCATCTGCATACCCGCAAAATTTCTTACCTCAACCCCTGTTAAGCTACGAGCACCTGATGACTTATTTTATCTTGTCCTTCCTACCCAGTTTTAGAGACCCTGTCAGTAGCTAGGCTGCCGCCAGTGCAAGTCTTCGGATCTGTAGGATACACAAGCTGTTCTACTGACAACAACGTAACGTTCACATAGAAGAATAGATATAAATTACTGACTTATATTTATTAATAATCCAGTAACTAATTAACAATATTGTTTCATTTTTCTTTTCAGGAACTTTTTATTGTGTACCTTTAATTGTGATTGCATTATTAATCTTGGTGGTGGTGTTTATATGCATGTGGATGGGGTGTATGTACTATAGGTACAAGATATCAATAGCCTTACTTTGGTCTCACTACTGTCTAACTTTGAAAGATGATCCAGGTAAGAATTATGAGTTTCATAAATTATTGATAAAAAATTTCAGTTGTCTTCTCTATATTGATATTGCATTGTCTAAGTTTATTATTGGAAGATCTGGACAGGTTAGAGCAATGGAGTAACCATGGGGTATGTCTTTTAGTTTAACTAACCAAAATTAGGGCCAATCTGTGAAAAAATTGGGAAGATGCTGATTTCAAATGATTTGTGTAGGGATATATACCAGGATACATCAAAAAATAGTTAGCTGGGCTAGGGAAAATTGTTTATGAAAGGTCAAAGGTCATTGACCCCAATCTAAAATACTAATACATGTATCTCAGGAACACTCTATGGTACAGTATATGTTTGATCTTGGTACGTGTCAAAATGCACAGAATTATTCAAACAATAAGAAAATAAAAAAAACCCTCGTAATCAATTCATTTGCTGGCCATACAAGAGTTTTGCAACTGCAAATGACATCACTCGTCTGTACTTTCGTGCTTCTCTACAAACCATTGTATAGATCCAAAAACTGTAATTGTTCAATATTGAATATTATTTAATTTAGAAATTTGGCGGCAATCTTGAATATTTGCAGGTGGCTGAATTTGAATTTTAGTGGTCATACATTAGCGGCTAATATCTCAAATTATAGTATAAACTCGAAAAACTGTTGTTCTTTATGGACTGTTATGTACTTCATGGTTAATATTGAAATTTGGAAGTCAATTTGGCGGCCAATTTGGTGGTAATTTTGGATTTCTGTATTTGCTATGGGCTGACATTAACTTTTGGTGGTGCCTCTGTATGCCCTGACCACTCAAATCATAGAATAGACTAAAAAAGTATTGTTTTGTAGAATATACTATAAATGGGACTTATTATTATTTGTTGGCCATCTTGGATTTCTGCAACTGCTAGTGCCTAACTCTTCAAATAAGTATAGACTCAAAACTGTTGTTCTATGTGGAATATTTTGGAAGTTATGGCAAAATATCAAAATTTGGCAGCCATTTTGATAGCAGATTTGAGTTCAGCACCCTACAAAACCCATAAATAGCTTGTATGCCATAAATTATTACAATTTGCCTCCAGCACCTTAAATAAGCACATTTTTGTCAAATTTTGCCTAGTCTACAACGGAAGCAACATCATTCTCAACACAATCTGTTAATGTTGTACTCCAGTACAACTAAAATTTTCTAACCTGGTTGGGATCAGTAAGTCTCTATAAACATGCAATATCACTTTTGTTATAGTTCCACATTTACAGTGAAATTAAGAGGAGTTTATTTGAGTATATACATATACATTTTACACCAAAAAAATTAAACTCCTCTCTCGATTAAATGCCTCCCTTGATTAAACGCCCCTCAAAAACCCTTCTCCACAATGAACGCCCCAGGGTGTTTCTGCGGTATATTATTTCTGTAAAATATGCAGAGCAATGTTTATTGCACACTATTTTCCAAGATGACTCATTTTTGTATACGGGATAAGGAAAGACTTTTTTTATACCTTGTTTATCAAATAATGATGATTTCACATTCAATTAAAATTTTATTTTTGATCAATTTGTACACCCGCCACCACGAAAAAATGGGAATTTCTTGCCGCTGCCTTGAAATCTCCAAAAATAGGATATGTATATTTCATCCTAATTAAATAAATATAAATCAAATCCCATTACTACACTGTTTACATTCACCAATTTTATTTCTATTTTTTCCTCCATCTGGATGATTTTGGCAAAAATATTTGCTAAATAAGAAAACAAAATTGTATTTTAATTTTTTTTTCCTGCCCTCTGACAATCTTTAAGAAAAGAAATTTGCAAAACAAGGCATGAAAAAATTCTCGATTAAATTGTAATAAATATATACAGTAAATAAATATTTATTTGATTGATTTAAACAAATCCAATAACAAGTGACTCAATTTTTTTTTTCAACAGAAAACAATCAATTTGATGCTTTTATTGCACACAGTAACTCAACAAATGATTGCAATTTCGTTTACAAGTGGCTTCTGCCTTTTTTGAAAAGCCATAACTTTTCCCCCTGCATTCGAGAAATAAATTTTCACCCTGGTGGAGGTAAATATCTTCATTCTTTTGAATAATTGATTTAGTGAAAGGCAATATCTGGTGGCTGACAAGCAACCCATGTGCAGTATTGTCTACACTGGTCACTTTTATGAGCAGTGCAAGGGCTGTTTTTAGAGCACCTCTTAGCATTCTTCATCACTGGCTACTGTCCTGTAACAATTTTTATTGTCAATGTGAAGTCTAATAAATATAAATAAATAAATGAACTACTGAATAATGCTGTCAAAACAATACTATTCATAAATCTCTGCTCATACTCATTCAATAAATCTTTACCACAGTATTTTTAACATAATTTTATGAGGCAATAAATTAACTAAAAAATATGTTTCTTGTAGATTGTTTTAATGACAGCACTGCTGCCGTGGAAGCAAGTCAACGGACTATTCTCATTTTGTCTCCAGAATTTCTTAAGAATTCTCAATGTCTACATGAACTAGAAGTTGCTCTCTACAATATGATAAAAAAAAGAAAAAGTCACAAGATTATTCCGATCATCTTACAATACATGGAAAATAGCGAAGTGAAGAAGTTTAAACAATTAGAACGGGTTCTGGTTTTTGTGAAAAAGTTGCGCTGGGTTGAGGAGGAACCAGAGAGATTCCACAAAAAGCTTCTAGAACTTATGCCCAAAGAAAGAACAGTGATTAGTAATGGACATGGTAGGTTCTTACAAGATAATCCAACATTTACACCAGAGGACACAAACCATGTATGACATCTTGAACAAATAATGTACACCTTGATTCATCGCAACTTTAGCTTTGCTGAAAATACCTTTGCTGATTTCTGCAAGATTCCTCCATGGGCAGACATGCGACAAATCCTACTTCACTCTGTGTGAGCGCTAGACACCGGCACCCTTCTGTTGATTGTTGCAGGTAGTCTGACCGGATTCATTTGTGCATGCGTCGTGGTATTGCGTTCTCCATAGTGAGTGCACAGCTTATATTGAATATCTGAGCTAAAAAAAAAAATTGGAAAATTTAATTCCATTTTTTAATTGTTTAATTTATTAAGATATTAAATTATTTGTTGTGCTAGTATACTCTGTTAATAGAGGTTATGCACAGTACAGGATGATGGTGATAATGATGATGATGACAGTGCCGCTATGGGAATCATGGCAATTCGTAATGTGTACAAGTTCTGAAAAAAAAAAAATTACAAAATTGTTTTGTTTATATTATATACAGTATATAAATAAGAGTTGCTGATAGGCAAATGGTATATATACTGTCTCTTATACACATCTAGATGTGTATAAGAGACAGATTTGAGTATATACATATACATTTTACACCAAAAAAATTAAACTCCTCTCTCGATTAAATGCCTCCCTTGATTAAACGCCCCTCAAAAACCCTTCTCCACAATGAACGCCCCAGGTAGATGGTAGTTAAATTACCTCAAAATCGATTGAGAAAATACAAATATATATGTTCCTATTTGAGTACTGTTATTATTATTTATCTATATTTTGTTTACCGTGTATTAAGCAGGAAACTTGATTTAAATATTATTTACTATGATGTCCAGCTATGACCTACAAGCTTAGTCAGTTATGATAAAGTGCCTGGGGTTATATCTGTACGTATATCCTGTAGGTCTCCGTGGCCTAGGTGTGATACTCGCCTTGACAGGGAGAGGTGGCAGGTTCAAATCCTGCCAGAAATATCGTTACAAGGACATTCTTCCCCATTAGTGCAATTGATATGCATAATTTCAAGATTCCCACAGTGCCAGAGTGAAAGCTAATCTGTGCCCCATGAGCATTCATGCTAATCCAATCTAAGTTTCTCAGGAGTGTTAAAGGACTCTATATGTCTGCTTTTCATGGCTAGTTTTTAAAGTTAGGCTCCAGTGTAAAAACACATTTTTGATATTCTGTACAACTGATTTTTCTAAGACACAAAAAGCATATTTGACAAAAGCTTGGGAACAGTTAATGAGATACAGATTTTTGAATATTTAAAAACTGTGGGAAAATGGTGGTTGTTTTCCTTCAGAGCCTGAGTTTAATGGACGGGCATTTAAATATCATATCTGAAATATATAAACCTTAAATTTTAGAACATGTTGTGATGTGTGGAGTTAAATACCTTAATAATAATAAGAATAATAATAAGATTTAGAAAGCGCACAAATCCACTCTACTAGAGCTCAAGGAAGAAACTACAGGAGGAAGAAACCAAAAATTACAAACAAGAGAACTAAGAAAAAGCAACCCGACAAGAGATGCGTCTTGAGAGCTTTTTTGAACAAAGCAGTAGACGGACACGAGCGAATGTTAATGAATGTGATGGCACAGGCTTGGGGTCCGGGTGCAATTCTTGTCTCAGCAGGACCTTTCTCATGAATAAAAACAACTCCACTCCCTAAGCCTTGTAAAGAGACTTGGTTTATAAAGCATGATTCCTACCTGTAAGTGGCGAGTTTACTTGCTGTTGGATGTAAAGGAATTAGTAAAAGAAAAAGAAAAAAAATGGCCATGTACATTACACAGATTATAATAATAACTGGGAAATGGGAGGGGTGAGGGTGGTACCCTACCTTTGAAAGGCAATGGGGCAAGCAGCCTGAAGATATACAGACGGAAGTCACACACAGGTGCCCCCACAATGGCAATCTTGGCTATGGCCCTAGCACTACACCCAAACAAGGTTGGGTCAGAGGAGAGCAAATAGGGACACTCAGACTAAAAATTCTTTTTAAAGCAGTGGTCCCAGAAAAAACAAAGATGATTAGTTGCTTTATGATGGATGGTAAAATTGTCTATAAATCAGTAAATTTATTTTGATGTGTTTTATTGGAAGTTGCTTTTAAATGAACAATTACAGTACTGTACAATTAAATTTTGTTCATGTTTCACTACAGTAAGTACATTAATTTTTTTTATGAAGTTAAGCGAGACTTTTTCTATACCTTGTTTAGCAAACCCACTGCCCGCCAAAATGTTGATTAATTTGAATAAAAATAACATTTTATTTTGGGCCAATTAGTAAACCCACTGCCATGAAAAAAATCGAAGTTTTTATTTATTTTTATTACACACACCGCTGCCTTGAAATCTTCAAAAATAAGATATATTTCTTCCTAATTATATAAATTTAAAGCATTTAACCATCCAATTACTACACTGTTTACATTCAACAATAACATTTTTTCCACCCTCAAATGATCTTTAAAAAAAACATTTATGTGAAACAAGGTATTAAAAAAGTCTAGCCTTAGCTTGAAAGTGTTTATAATGAAAGATGTTTTCAGTCTTTAGCTAATTATGATAAAGGATGGATAAGGATCATGTTTTGTATTTGTTGTTGTGTGGCTTGTAAATTTAATTTGCATTGTTTTCCTTCGGACCCTAGAAAAATAGTTTTATTATTTTATAACAAACAGATACAAAAAATCAAATAAAAAAACTATGAATTTTTAAACATTAAGTATTGCGTGTTTAGTGTAATGTGTGATATTGGGTGTCAGCGTTTTCAAAAATCATCATCAAGTACAACATTAAGTATTGTGTGTTTTTGTGCATGTTTAGTGTAATGTGTGATATTGGGTGTCTTAGCGTTTTCAAAAATCATTAAACTTTTTGGGCTGTGATAAAATCTAGGAAAACCCTAAAATATTAACATTGAGTTTGTCATTTAAAAGAATCCGTGATAATAACTTTTAACTCTGGAGCTTCTAGGGGGAAATGGCCCTTTTGTTAAGGAAACACTGCAACTTGTACCCCTCTTCAATCATAGGTCCTTATTTATAGGGGCATAGGCTGTTTTAGCCTAGTGGGGTGCAAAAATTGGGAATGCATTCCATTGAAAACTTGACCATTGTCACATTTAGTAATTTAATCCACTTTGTTGAACTACTTTGCCACCATTGGGGGTTGGGGTTTAATGCTCATGTCATTTACTACTTTTTTATCCGCCACAGAAAGCATACTTTCAAGCATACTGCTCCTTAGGCTATTTAATAACTTTTTAGCACTACTGTAATATCTTGAATAATAACAATGATTCTTTATACCAGTCTGAGATTATTTGAAAAATGTGAATTGATCTCCGGAAAAGTAATAGGTATGACTTATGATTGTATGCATTAAAGGAACGTGTTACTTCAAAGCTTACTGAAACAAACTGAAAAAGTTAAACACTAAGCTCTATTGTTTGAGAAAACTTTGTTCAGCAGGATATTTGTAGAACATTTTACTCATCAGTGATGTTGCCTACTACTTCAAGGCTTAATTTGCTCACTTGTCGCACTGTTCTGAATTATGGCCAAGAATCAGGCTAAATAACGAAAACCAAAAACTGAGTTTTTCACAAGTGTACAAACAGTACGCTAGGGGGCAGGGGGTAGACAAATTTGTACACTTTTACATATGCATAAAAATGTTGTTTCAAAATACTGTAATATGCAATATGTAAAATAATGGTAAAATTATAATGTAACCATGGATATAATATTCGTTTTTAAGCAACTAAGTACATTGCTTTAGTTGACTTTACAAAAAAATGCAGAATGGTTTTGTATTGAACGACCCCTACAGCAATTCAAAATAATGACTCAAAAATACATTTAATTCTAATCTGTATAAATTTATACAAATATTTATCAAATAATTTCCACTATTTGTCAAAGCCAAATAGAAAATCAAAACTATTTAAATATTTCCCTCACTTATTCACTGGAGAACAGGGAAATCTTTATTGCAGTGATGGTGCCAGTATTTTCCCTGACAAGGGGAAGATGAGGGGGAGGTGCTGATGTCTCCAACAGGACCAGAGTCGGCCCAGAACTTCTTGGGTTTTAAATGGCTTATTAATTTTCCTTTACAAATTGTGTTGATTTTCACAACCGGTGGGGCCAACTCTTTCCAAAAGGAGCCCCGACAACCCAACCCATTCCCACAGTTCTTCCACTGGCATCACCACTGGTTCTTCCTGTATATCCCAAAATGCAAATTCCCTTTAATGAACCGTGACCCCTAATTTTTTTTATATTTGAACTCCACTCCAGATATTTGGTTACCTCCTACGGTCTCTGTAGTCTCTATACTCTCTATTATAATCCTTGACCCCTAATTTTTTTTATATTTGAACTCCACTCCAGATATTTGGTTACCTCCTACGGTCTCTGTAGTCTCTATACTCTCTATTATAATCCTGTTTATCATTCCTCCTTACAGGACTTCTACTTCTGCTGTACCTAGTTCTTTTTTCACTATAGTGTTCCCTTTTTTCTGTATATTTCTCTCTTGTACTATCTCTGTCCCATCTTTTCTTATCTCTCTCCACTCCTCTATCTCTCTCTCCTCTATCTTTATCTGTATAAATTTATACAAATATTTATCAAATAATTTCCACTATTTGTCAAAGCCAAATAGAAAATCAAAACTATTTAAATATTTTCCCTCACTTATTCACTGGAGAACAGGGAAATCTTTATTGCAGTGATGGTGCCAGTATTTTCCCTGACAAGGGGAAGATGAGGGGGAGGTGCTGATGTCTCCAACAGGACCAGAGTCGGCCCAGAACTTCTTGGGTTTTAAATGGCTTATTAATTTTCCCTTACAAATTGTGTTGATTTTCACAACCGGTGGGGCCAACTCTTTACAAAAGGAGCCCTGACAACCCAACCCATTCCCACAGTTCTTCCACTGGTATCACCACTAGTTCTTCCTTTAATGAACCGTGACCCCTAATTTTTTTATATTTGAACTCCACTCCAGATATTTGGTTACCTCCTACGGTCTCTGTAGTCTCTATACTCTCTATTATAAACCGTGACCCCTAATTTTTTTATATTTGAACTCCACTCCAGATATTTGGTTACCTCCTACGGTCTCTGTAGTCTCTATTATAATCCTGTTTATCATTCCTCCTTACAGGACTTCTACTTCTGCTGTACCTAGTTCTTCTTTCACTATAGTGTTCCCTTTTTTCTGTATATTTCTCTCTTGTACTATCTCTGTCCCATCTTTTCTTATCTCTCTCCACTCCTCTATCTCTCTCTCCTCTACCGTGTGCAGCCCTCTCATTTTGGCCTCTGTCCCATTCACTCCTCTCCGTTCTCTCATTTTGTTTCCTATCACAGCGCCCTCTATCAACATTTTCTGTATATCCTTCATCCCTCCTGTTCCTACTGGAAAAACTTTCCACTCGCTTCTTGCTATTTCGCTCCATGGAACTATAAAATTTCTCAGACCTAACTCGGCTATCTTCATGTTCATATTTATCACATCTTCGTTCATTGTGTTCAGTCCTTTGATTAGTTTCTCGACGCTCATAACTTGGATCAAATTTTTCCTGTTTGATTTTTATTGGTCGTTCTTCTTCACTGTCTTCACTGCTCTCAGATTCAGAACTTGATTCCTTCTTTCTTTTCTTTTTCTTCTTTTTTTCCTTTTTGGCTTTCTTAGATTTTATTTTATCTGGCAGAAATTATAATAAAGAAAAAAACCTAAATAATTATAAGGAATTAATGTTTTTACAATCCTAATAACACTATGCAATGCTAAACAATTAAGGTCTCATTATGAGGTCTTAGATTTTATTTTATCTGGCAGAAATTTTAATAAAGAAAAAAACCTGAATAATTATAAGGAATTAATGTTTTTACAATCCTAATAACACTATGCAATGCTAAACAATTAATGTCTCATTATGAGGTTTAAAAAAGTGATGTTGTGAGTTAAGAGAACATCTTATCTCACAGGATTCAAACAAATGACCCTAAAATAGTAAAGCCAGCACCTTCACCATTTAACTATTTTCCACCCCAGTTGTATAAATGCACTTAAATACTGTAGTTAAATGTGGTATAATAATAGCCAATGAAAAGTGAAAGAAAAGAATTTTGTTAGCTATATATTAGAAGCAAATTACCGTACGTAATGCCAAATAAAAAAAAATGTTTATCATCTACAGTACCACATTGCTTTCGAAGACCACATCATTTGGTTCCAATTTAAGATATGACAGACTTCTTTTTTTTTTTGTCATGGTGACTAATTTTTCTAGATGTATCTTCATTCTGTGATATTTGGTTACCATCAAGATTATAGCTAAGAAAAGACCTTTACTCTCCCCCGATACTTTCCTTTTTATTCAATTTTATGGGCCTAAAAACAAAACAAACCTTTTTTTGATTTCCTAACTTTTTGTGGTAATACCAGTTCCTCTTCAGATTGTGCTGAAGATGATGACATTTTAGGGGCACATCCTTCTTTGTGCAGACGCTTCAAATCATCACCATCATCATCGTTCTCTTTCGGAGCTCGGTACTGGTTTACATGATCCACTCGAATGGTTCGGCCTAAAATCTTTAAAAAGACATTTTTTTTTAGGAAGGTGTTATCTAAAGATATAAAAGGCATGGATAAATTAACATGGAAATGTATTTAGTTTTGCAAATGATTTAATTCTATCTTGGTTAGTTAAGCTACTGCTCTACAATGCAATATACGGTCTTGAATTTATGGGTTACTTTATAGAGCAATGACCATCATCTCTACAACGTGAATAAATAATATATAACTAATATAAGTAAAGTCAAAGAAAATTAACCCACTTGCCCTAATTTGGTAAACCCACCGCCCCCTCCAGACACACACCACACACAGAGGGGCAACCAAAAATGAAGCTGGCCTAGCTTTGCAGTGCAGTGCCACCTCTAGTGGTAAATGCAATGTTTAGCTAAGCCACAGCCCGTGGATACTGTCTCACAAAATGGCAGTGAGGGGGCGTGGAATATATTTTCGGTGGCCACGCCCACTGAAAAATATTGCTTCTTAGATTCCCGAATACACGTTAACCGTGACAGCATAAGCATAAGCTAATTTTTTTTGCTTCGAGGTTTTCGAATGCCACGCTACCCCCCACCCCTTGGATACGCCACTGTCTGTTTGGTCAGTTATATTTCATTGATATGGCTCTTTCTTTATGGAGAGAGTACTGTGTTCTTCAGTATACACATGAGCTGCATGTACACAGGACCAACAGCAAAAGAATATACACGAGAACGCCTCCTTTGGGACACTCCTATTAAGGGACACTTCTGTTAAAAGGGGACACTCCTATAAGGGGACACTCCTATTAAGGGGACACCTTTTTGTCCATGAATAAATGAAAGGATACAGTATATATAACAGCAAGGCCAACCACTATTCAGGGGGCACCTAATAAGGGGACACTTGTTTTGGTCAAGAAGGTATCCCCTTAATAGGGGTTCTACTGTATTTACAGTACTAGTAATGAAAGAATAGTTGTTACAAAGGATTTGAACCCAGGACCTTTGGATTAGAAACCACCATGCTACTGTTCCTCCTACCTTGAAACCATTGAGATTGTCTACTGCAAGAGTTGTACTTCTCTGATCCTCGTATGCAATAAAACAGAAGCCTTTTGAATTTCCAGTTTTTTTATCTCTTACTAGGTTAATGTTGACAATTTCACCATATCTGTACACAAAAAGTAATTGTTTTTTTTTATTTTTTTAAAATAATTATTCCATAAAGTCTAGATGAGCTCAATACAATGCCAGGTACCTACTGTAGAGTACAACCGTCGTGTTGTCACAACACCAGGTGGCGCCCTTTGTTGTCAACCAGAAGTTGGTTACCGTTCATTACGCCTGAATGACTTCATAATCTTAATGGTTTAGAATAGGCTTTCTGGAATAGGCATTTTAAAACCTAATAATTTACTATCAAAATGTACTAAAAACACAAAAGCTCACATTATATTACTTATCGAACTCGCATTTAATCATCAATTAAAATTTACAAAGAAAAACTAAGATACAACATCATAATAATTACGTTAGAAATTGGAATCAGTGGTTTGTCTGTGGGGAAAGGGCGTCCGGTTAAACGCAGTTTGTGTCGCCAATAGCAACGGAGTAGTATCACATGGTATCGTGACGTAACACTGTAGTACTCTATTGGATTATACAGTAATGCTGACTAGTTGGTTGGTCCTCTTTACTGTGAGGATCAGCATTCTTTGGTCTGGTTACATTCAAGTTTTACTATAGGTAAAATAGTGCACCCTTCAATGCCACTGAAATCCATTCCTCTTCAACATGTTCGCTGCCAGCAAAAAGTATACTCGTCCCATAGGGTGTTGCTGATGGTCCTAAGGACGACTATATTCGTTAAAACTGGGGTAACATTCTTGCATTTATCACTCTGCTGTTATAAATTGCAGAACCAGACTTAACAGCTGGTAGTTCAGGAAAGATACACCTAGACTATAACATGTTATGTTGCTGGCAGTGAAAAAAAGATTGCAAGTGTGGGGGCGCCCTATAAAATATACATGCAAAAAGCGGATGAGAAAACTCACAGTTGGCCGTAGCAGATTAATCATTTTTTTATCTTAATCATATAGTGTGCGACTCTTGCAGCAATAGAATAAAACACACTGTCCTATCGCAAGTGACTCGTTCCCCTAATATTTTCCCTCCAATTTATTAGACACACCATTTCGGTGATGTTACTTACTGTGAGAAAACACACAAGATGTCACCCTCTGTAAGATCATATGGTAGGCCACCAATATATATGTAGGCACTGTCTTTGTATTGCTGGTGCCATGAATGCTTTTCGGAAATTCCATATTCAGCCTCTAGCTCGTTCAACTTGTTAATATTCCTAATATTCGTCAATGGGCTAAGGAAACAAAATGCAATAAATCAATGTGGCAATAATCATGCTATTTTTGGAAATACAGTAAGAAAGGGCTTAGCTTAGCTGTACTGAGAGAGCAGCTTAGCTCAGTCAGCTAATCTGGTGGTACTAGGTAGCCGCTGTGTGTGTGCTGAACCGTGGAGATCTCTAGGTCCCCGATTCAATTCCCATCGCTGCCTCCCCTTGTGTTTCAGCTAGAGGACTGAAATACAAGTTACAATAGCACACCGTTTTTCGGATGAGACGTTTAAGCCGTCTTCTTCTAGACTTTCGTGGGCTATCCTTGGTGTTTACACCGAATAAATCCAGTCCAATCCAAACATTGTGATTAAATTCCCTATTCAAAAATTTAGGCTTAAAAAATCCTTAAAAAAATATGAAAATAAAATATAGCAGTATTCCCTATTTATTATCATTTACATTTTTCGTTCGGTGTTTCCATTGGCCTGGCAGAGACGTTGGCGGCGCACTCCACTGGTACGGTAGTGGTATGCAAAAAAAATTGCCCAGTAACACTCCAGTATGGACTCTTTGGAAAAAATCATAAAATGCATAGGAAGTCAGGATACAGTTGCTTTCAATTTTTTTCATTTTTTTTTTAGGGGGGGGGGGGGTGGTCCTATCAGATTTGATTCTCATTGAATTGCATAGCCTATAGGAAGTCAGGATGAAAAAAAAAATACGAAAGCTAAATGATTGTTGAAATTTTCATACGGCAGGCATAGTTATATATAGTAATCAACAAAAATCTATATGAACGCAAGACAGCTTTACTAGCTAGGCCTAGCTCTACATATCATAAGTCACTGGTGGGATGTGCAGGCGCCCGTGTAGAGTATGAGCGGTAGGAGGAAGAGGTTCTAGCTTAGGCCTAGCCTAGCCTAGCTCAAACCTCAATTAAAGCATGGAGTAAAGAATTGAGCATGTGAAACAAACTCATATAAATTTAACATATAAATTACTTTGTTAATGATAAAACATGAATTAAATGTTATGTATTTGCTCTTAAATATAATATAACATAAGCAACTTACTTCATCTTTCCGCCGCCACGAAAGACCCAAATAAACGTAAAATTGAAGTTGCAATTTCCACGGATGCGATATAGGCCTATTGAATAATCGAAAACAATGTTTCTATGTACAAATTTAAATATAGAATATGCAACCTCATTATTTGTATAGTAATTTTATTAAAAATATAAATTCTTAAAACATTATCTATTTATTATTACTTTCGTTGAAAATTGTATATATTTATTTTAGATCTTATATTTATCAGCACAGCATGGCAATTGGCATATAGCATCCATTGAAATCACTCACAGCTTTGTTGATACCATAGAGAAAATAGAACAGCCGTGTAGAGAGTCCGAGTACGTGTTTTTTTGTTTTTGCACATTTGTAAAGAATACAAATGTAGTTTAATTATAGTGTTTTCTTAATTTTAACTTTGAATGCACACACAATAATAACTGTAAAATATGTATTTAGTCCTACTGTATAATGTAGACTAAGACTGTAGTAGCGTCCGAGCTGCCTAGGCCTAGCTATAGACATAGAGTTGGTATGGTCGAAGCGGCCGCGAGCCAAAGGTAAACAGAGGCGTGCTATGTTGTCCAACTAGGTAGGCTACTATTCTAAGTAAAACTAGGCTACTCCCTCTAAAACCACTGCACTGGTACTAAGCAGTGAGTGACCGAGAGAAGACTGAGCTATAAGCTGCTGTATGCTACTCCTTGGCGCTAAATTTACTTTCCTTGGCCAGGTCTTGGACCTTGCATGGTACGCTGTTCTGAGGAAAATCTTTTTTAAGTGCGATGCCGGGTAGGCCTATGTGAAATTCCTTGGTAACCGAAGAATGACTTTGTGATTTTGAATGCTGTACTATTTGATTATTATATTAATTGACTAATACATAGCTCGCCATAGGCCTATATCCTTATTATGTTTATGATGGAGGTATAATACCAACAGTGACGGCGCCAGTGGTTGGGAAGGGGGAGCAGCAGCAGGGGCTTAAGCTGACAGATTAAGTCCCCCATCGGACAGAGCTCGTCGGGCAGTTGGACTAAAAAATATATAAATTTAGGTCCACGCCAAGCCAACATTTCTGGCCATCCACAGGTTCCTACTCTTTAATAAAAAAAATCTCATTTGGGAGGGGGAACTCCCTCTCAAACCATTTCCCCAGTTCGGGCCTAGATGGAAGCCCAAGTCCCCCTGTCGGATAGCTCAGCCCCCCAAAGAAAATATATCATAGAGCCGCCACTAAAAACCAACTAAAATGAATAACTGCATTATTCTACTAATAGATAAATTATATGTTTTGCTCATACTTTATATATTTTTTTCAGGTCTATGTAAAATGACTCTACACTGGGTAGAAACATTGTTTCCTCCAACATTCAAGTACAATGATCTTGGAGAATTATTAACGAATGATAAGCAGCTACAGGAGATCAAGACCCACTATGAACCAAGTAAAATCTCAAGAACAACTGAGCCAATAGAAAATATATATGAGAGAGTGCGAACATCCTATAATATTGAGTTAGAATCCAGAAGGCAAAAATGTATACAAGTTGGGGATCCACTTAGAAAATTTGCAAAACAAAAAACTGTTGCAAGTGAATCTTTAACAATTACCGAACCTAGCAAAGAAGATCCTTGTTTATGGACAAATCATGAGATGAACATTTTACGAGAAGCCTATCAGGTGTTAAAACAAGAGAAGATGAAAACTGAAGAAGAGTTAAAAGTTATAAAAAAGGCTTTTAAACGAAAGCAAGAAAAAGCAAAACAATACCGCAAGGAGTTAGAAGAACAGCGTGAAATTGTGAAAGGCTTACGTGATGAAAACACGCACATAGAAATAGTGTGTAAACATGTGAGCAAAGATTTAAAGGCAGCTCAATCCGTTGAGGTATTCTTGCGTGAGGATATTGAAGACTTGAAAAATCAGAAGCATGCACAGCAAAAAATAATTGAAGGGTTACGTAAAGACTTAGCTGAGGAGAGAAGAAAACGTAAACAAATTAGTATTGATCTCGAAGAGGTGAGACATAAATGCCAACAAGAAAGTGAACTGAAGGAAGAGAGTTTACGACTTGACTGTGATATACATGTGAAGCGACTTTATAAAGTCATTATAGAGTTAGAATTGGCATTGGAAAAAGAGAAAAATGAACATGTGATCAGTAAAAAGGGACTTGACCACTTGAGGTCACACTTTGCAGGCTTGGTGGACCACAAAAGTGAGGCTAACATTGATGAGTTGAAGAACTTTAGTCCATACTGAATTTATTTCACTATTCACCATTGTTACTTAAATGTTATCTAAAAATTCTGATAAAAACCTAGGCCAGTAACCCACTGGTGGCAGCATAGTTTTGGGCAGGTAGGCCAACCCTCCTGTAGGCTCACCAATAATTTGCTAAACAATTGTTTGAATATTGCTTTTGACAAAACAACACAGGCTTATTTGGGCAAGGCATGGATCACCAGTTGGCTGTTGGTTATCTCGTGCTTGGCGATTTTGGTCTGAAAGTAATGTAGGAATTATAAAGTCTCCCAGAATGTAAAAAACATTAAGTTTTCTAGGGCACCTTATCAAAGGCCCTCGCTCCGCTTGTAATTGTTTATGGGGCCCACCAAACATTCAAACTATGCTGCCTTTGTAGTATTTCTTTAATATTTAGGCCTATGTGTGGGTTATAATTACAGTATGGATGCCTTTATACATGTATAGTATATGGTCTCTTTGTATACATTCAGTACTTATGTTAAAAATACATAGAACAAATTCACCTAGCACTGACCTTAGCTGGGTCAATGCTGCTAAAAATGGTTTTATTCACAGACTCTCCCATAACTACTGTATAATACCATTACATGTAATGATACTACTATTGACATATTTTTTAACTGTATTTCCATGTTTAAATCCAAAGTTTTTAATTCAGTATAGGCCTTCTTTCAGTTAAGCTAGGAACTCTCAATATTGTTGATTTGTTACCTTGATTGTTATTGTTTTATTTTGTATTTTACTATATTTTTACATATTTTAAGACATCCTGTAATTGGCAATTCCGCTGTTGGATGTAATTGAAATAAAGTAAATAATAAAATAAAGTATATGATAATCCTAACACTTCCTGTATTGGCAATTCACACATTAATATTAATAATACTGTAGTACAAACTACAAGTAAAATATTGTTTATAATTATTATAAATTTAAAAGAAATCACTAATGGTAGACATTTTCTGTTTTACATAGGCATTAATGTAGAAGCAAACATGTTGATTTCACTCAATTCTGGGCCTATCATTTAATTCCAATTTTATAGTAATATAATATTATATATGAAGTGACAAATTACTTGTGGCACTTTGATTTTTCCTTAATCTTTACTGCCCTCTAGGGTAAGGGTCCTACATTGGGAGAAGCCACCTTAATGATATGGTTAAATGTGTTTTGTTACCACACCTAATTATAATAATGTACTGCATGTTGTAATACCGCACATACATTTGCAGGAAATAGGTTAGTAGCCAGGGGATTTTTGCTTGCACAAAAAAGTATGCGACACAATCCCGATTTCCAAGGGACTTCCACAATTCTCGGAAGACTTGGGACACCTGTTATGGCTATTTCTGATGTTGCAGGTCAACAGAACAAATTATTATTATTTAAAATGTACAGTATGCAATTTTCAAAATAAAGTTATTCAAAATACCTGTATTATTTATATAGTAGTTATTAATTGTGTCGGTTGTACGATTTGTTTTGTGTTGTGCTTTTGTTGTTAATTGGTTTGACAATATACAACAGTTGTGGCGTTCATGATTTCATGTTTATTGCTGTAGAACACGTTGCCCGAGTTTTTCCCTGAACAATGAAACCTTACAACCGAAAGGAAAATGTGCAATATAAATGCCCATACCAGTACCAGTTTGAAAGCCTTATTGCCACCGCCGTGGAGGAAAAGTAATGCTGCCACCAAACTTAAGTCCCTTGCTGGAGGACCGGCTTGTCATGTATTGCCCTCCTGTCAACTCAGTGTAATTTTGGAAACAGTAATAAAATATATTAGCATTATAGATTAAGAGGTACTCATATTGTTTAATGAAAAAAGGTCATTGCTTGTATAGGGAAGTTGCAAGACATGTAATTGAATAGGCCTATATGGGCGGGGCATAGCGAAAAGGTCCATAAAAAAAAGTCAAATAAAAAAACAAGTAAATACTAGGCTTAATAATGGGAAAGGTGGAAGAGAATAATGACTCGAATTAAACTGAATAAAACAATGGACTTACGCAAAAGAGTAAAACAGGTTTAAGAGTAAAGATGACAATAAATATAGATAAATATTTAGATTAAACACCACCAAAAGTTGATAATATAATTGTATTAAAAATATTGTTAGAATTTGATAGAATAATGAAAATTGCAAGTAAAATAATAGGTAGGGATGTAAATGTTATTGGTAAACGGGATGTGACTAGCCAAGTTAAGAAAATTATGGAAGATATTTTACACCCATTAAACAATAATTACAGTATGTTGTTAGTAACCCCGGTGGAGTCCGTCAAAATATTTTGTTGATAACTTAACTCATGTTTACAATTCATTATGTTCATTTCAATCAACTGAAATGGATACCAGTTGACTCTATGGGGACTAGTACACCAACTAATAAATGGCAATGGTCCAGCTTATTTGGAGCATTATTTTATTCAGGCTATCAGAAATATACACAGTATTATTAGTACGCGAGCAAGTGAGAGGTCCGTAATTCCTAGACAAAAAAACTTCTATCGGCAAGAGTACATTTAAATCCCAGGGGCTACAGACTGAAACGACATTTTCAGCTATCACTCAGAAAACTTCAGTATTTTAAGTTATTGTTAAGAGTAGTAATTAATTACTTACTTAATTAATTAATAATTAATACAAGACCATTTTCTTGATTTTTTTTATGTTGAAGAAAATTATGCTTATTGTTTTGCCAAGTGTTTAATTTTGTGTTGAGGACCAGAATGGAAATAAGTTTTAACTTCTTGTGTTATTTTCGGAATTCATTTTCATCATGTTGTTGTATTGTATTGTGTTATGAGTTTCTAATAAAGTCAATCAATCAATCAATCAATCAATCAATCAATCAATCAATCAATCAACTTTTCAGAGATACTAGTTTGTATATTTTATTTTTTTTTTGTCTTTCTCGTATAGGCTTATTTAAGTTAATTAATCTTTTTTATTTATTTATTTATTTCATACTGCTTTGTGAAGTAAAGCATCAAAGAAACCAAAATTCATGTTCGCATTGTTTTGTGGTCATGAAAATAAAGTTTATCTTTATCTCTTAATCTTATCTTATTATTTATAGGCCTATTACTTTTAAGAGAGTTTATGTCTGCGTCTGTATTTTCCACTTTCTTCCCGAGTTCCTCAAACAGTATAAGGTCTTGCTTCGTGTTAGACTGTTTAAGCATAGAGAAATTTATGGTTTAAGAAGCTCAGCAAGAAGGTGGAAAATTAGAAGCAGACGCAGACAATCTTTCTTAAAAATTGCAGAATTTTCGGCGTTTTCCCAATATTTATTGCATTATAATACTATCATTTAAATAGCATTAAAATTAGCATGAGAATATTCACTTCCCGCTACCTAATTTCAAGATGCATATGATTTCCTCCAATTATTAGTCCGTGGTTTGGAACACATTACAAAAGAGCGTTCCTGATAATTTAATATAATTAAATACAGTATACAGTACAGTACTCAGGGCCGCCAAGAGGGAAAACGGTAACAGGGAAAAGCGTTGGTGTGGGCCCCCAGTTGCGAGCGCGAAGCGCAAATAAAAAGATGGGGTTTTTTTGGGGGCTATAGGTCTGTCTCTTATACACATCTAGATGTGTATAGGAGCCCATTATTAGGGGACCCATGCCATTATTGTTGAGGGCCTATGATAGTAATTATTTTTGAAAAAAAACAATGCTACTTCAATTTCCATGGGCCCCTGGTAAGCTTAAGACCCGGGGATCTTTACCCCTTCCCTCTCTCGGTGGCACTCTAGGTACTGTTTATGTTGAATAAATTCATCTCCTTCCAAAGAATATTTATATTGATTTTTCTTTATTGTGAAATTGATTTATTAAAAAAGTCAAGAACATCAGCTGACGTTACCTTAATAAGGTATGTTGTCATCACACTAAACGTTGGGTAAGTCTTGGCTTTTTTTAAATATATCCTTCACAATAAATGAAAATCAAAAATATAAATTTATATTTTCGTTGACCAGCAGGGATTAGATTTTCACCATGATGTGCCTAAAGGAATCAGTGATTTACAAGGCGATTCGTAACAATTTTTTGTTTGATGATTAATTTTTTTAATTTCCCTTTTAAATCTTTCTAAACAATACGATTTGATTTAATTCTTTTTATATCTTCATTTTAATATATTTAGTGTATTTTAAAGGATTCTTCTAAATAATGTAAAAGTTACCGTAATTTTCAAAGTGTTAATATTTTCATTTTAATATATTTAGTGTAATTTTAAGGATTCTTGTAAATAATGTAAAAGTTGCCGTAATTGAGTTTACAACTGTAATTGCATTTTAAAAAAATGAATTAATTAATTAATGATTACACATAGGCCTACAGTATTGTTAATCTGATTTGAAGAAAATACTTGTAAATATGATATTGTAAAGTATCGCTTATCAAATGAACGCGTGGACATAGTCATCCAACTACAGAACTAAAACACCAGATATTGCCTATACGTTCGCTACATCTGTTCATGATTTTCCTCCCGATGTTTGGCAAAAAAAACCCCAATGACACACCATCTGTCACATTCATTATACAAATAATTAATTATTCAAATTTGATTTTTTTTAATTTCTTGTAGTATAAACTCGCCGTATACATGGGTGACAATTTTGCTATTGACATTACTAATTAATTTTGTCACAGCTGTACTTGTCAAATAATACATTCATGTAAATTTTGTAACGTCTCATTTTACCTCACGGCTAGAATAAACACACCTCGTTTTGATCTTTCTCTCGACGACTGAAGGTAAGTTTGCAGGATTCTTTGTAATAACTCGCCGTATACATAGATATTGGGATTCCTTCCAGTGGATGCTTAGTTTATTTTGTCCTTCTGATCGGATTTTCTCTACTGTTCCGTTTTAATTTTAAATAGTTTTGCATTATGTGGCCGTTTGCTGTTTTATGGG